CTCACCAAGAGACACTGCCTCCAAGGAGACACATCAGAAATTGTCCCGAACACAGCACCTCGGAGATTGAAAGGCCTTCCTGCCTGCATTAGTGTGTTCAGGGTGCTTCTCGGCCAGGGGTTTCGATCTCATGCTGATGCAGGTGAGGTAGGGTGAATCTTGGGGCTGGGATTCCTTTTTATCTAAAATTTACTGGGCATACCTTTCATTCGGTAGTGACAGTTACACAAATTTAGGGCTAAGTATGGATACAGCTGATCCTGAAAGTCTCAAGCCAAACACTTTCCTTCCAGAAGCAGACCTTGCCTGGCCCCTGAGGAACTTGGTTTAAGCCTTTTTGTTTAAGTGAGAGAAGCGGACAGCTCTGGCCCACAAGTGGCAGGTGGAGGCCCAAAGATGCCAGAAGTGGGGTTCTGATGGGGGGAGGGGGTGGGGAGCACCTTTCCTCCACCTGCTGGAACAGTTTCAGGAGCACAGAAGCGCACATACACTCATGCATGCCCCCCCCCCACACTTACAAGGTCTAGCTGGAGCAACTTCTGGACACTCCCCCATGCCATCCAAGGCCACAGGATCCCAGGCGCTTCCCTGCTCCAGGCTGGGGCTGGCTAGAGGAAGCAGCCTATCCTAATCTCGCTAGTCCCCTAGGAGAGCCCTGTCCTTGGGGTCTCCTGCTCTAGACTAGTCCCCACTGCCCCTGTCCCTCTTCCCTAGCTCAGTCCTTTGTCTCTGGCCACCTGGTAGCCTGTACCCGCCCACCCCTGTGTCTCCCCCACCTTACCCGCTCTGGCCTCTGGTAGGCTCTGCCAGTTCCTCTCATCCACAGCTGCTGGAGAGGAGGAAGGGAGGGCGGCGCTGCGCATGGATCAAGACCTGGACTTGGTGTATTCCAGGAACTTGGGGAAACAGCCTGGGGCCACACGCCCCACTCCAACTCTCCCTCGGTGCCGAGAAGCATTGGCCCTGGCCAGCACAAAGCTTGCCCCTCTTCCCTGTGTGCAGGCTGTGGTTGTGTCCTCATTGCTGTTCCCGCATCTGGCTCTGGTTCCCCTGCCCCACACTTTGTCCCTTCCAGCCACCTGCCCCTCCCTCCCCAGACCCCATGGTCATCACAGTGACTTTAGGGATGCTTGTCCCAGCACTGTACGTCTGGGCCGCAGCCCATGAAGTGTCAGGCCCATGCCTGACTGAGAAGATGGTTAATCATTTCTTCCCCACATGCGCAGCCCCACCCTGCTCTCTCCTGCAGCTTGGGGGGGGAGGGAGGGAGGGAGGGAGGGAGAGAGAGAGAGAGAGAGAGAGAGAGAGAGAGAGAGAGAGAGAGATGGGACTTTGACTCTGCCCAAACCAGCTCCTGTAGAGGAGGTGCCTCTCAGTTTCCGCGGCGTTTGCCCTCTTCCCCTCCTCTTTTTCTCAGCCTCCCTTAATAGGTCCTGTCCCCAAGCCTCATCCTCTCTGTGGCTGGGCGAGCTGACTACCTGTCCTGGATCCACTCTTTGTTTGAAACTGGACCAGACAGGATTTCCCTCCCCAAGTCTTTGTAGGGGACCAACAGATCCCCAGGTCCTTGGCTGTGGGAAGGGAGGAGTTTAACTGATCTCACAGTAGTGAGCTGGACAGAGAGAGCTACAGGAGTGGGAATGGAGGATTAGCTGAAGGGTGGAAAGGGAAAAATATCTCAGAAGGAGGAACTTGGGAGGGGGCTGCAAGCTCCGCCTCCAGGATAGGAGTTGGGTAAAAAACACCACCTTCCTTGGCCTCCCCAGGGACTCTGTTCCCTCCCTGCCCCTTGTGGAAGGTCAGGGGCTCGGAAAGCTGGGCAGTTATCCCATAAACCACACATTCTTTGTTTTTCCCCAAATGCCAAGTGGATAATTCCATAAAGTAGACAAGACAGGTATAATTATCCCCATTTCACAGGTAAGAAAACTGAGGCCTAAAGAAGCAAAGACACTATGCAGGTAGTGGCTGCTTCTTCTTCTTGGGGCCTGATGATGAATGGCCCTTGAGCTGTACAGAAGTCCGTGGAAGTCTGAGGGGACAGGGTGTGTATAGTACTGCCCAGGGATATTCAGGCTCCTTTTCTCTGGCCAGGACCCTCTACTTGCACCCTAAGGACCTGCCAGACTGATTTCTCTAGGCTCACTTGACTTTCTTCAGCCCCTAGTCCAGCAGTCCACAGGCGGCAGCCACCTGACCCATGTGGCTAAAAGGCAGCTTTGGTGGCCAAGTGGCTTGCACTGCCTCAGCCCTCAGTGAGGACCTCTTGTACTTTCCAGAGGAGGGGCTGGGAGGAGGGACCCCAGAGGATAAAGGCCTGGCACATGTGCTGGGCCAGCCGAGCAGTGGACCCTGCCGCGGGCGCAGGAGGCAAGAGTCAGGTCTCTTGGGCTTCACGCGGGTGCCCGAACATTGCGAACAAAAGCTGGAAGAGAAGAGGGAGGGAGGAGGGCGGGAGGGAGCCGGCGAGGAAGCAGAAATTAGGGGGTCTTAGATAAAAAAAAGAAAGTAGCTTTAGGGGGATTGTGCTGTGGAGTGTGAAATTGCAGCCCGTGGTGCTCCATATTGTACCAGAAGCTCTTCCAAAAAAAAAAAAAAAAAATCAGCCATCCTCCAACGTGACCGGAGGGCCAGGCGGAGGAGGGTGAAAAGGGAGGGGAAAGGCTGAGCAGAGGGCCTAGGGTGCGTGCCTGGCCAGCCAAGGGCAAGTGGGTCACAGACGTCTGTCCTGGAGGTGTCAGAAGAACTTCGTTTTTATCTTGCTGATGGGAGGACTCCTACAACCAGGAATAGTGCAGCGCCGGAGCTGGGCCAGGGAGCAGCTGTCCCGCACTACCCGAGTCTCTTCCCTCTGTCCCTGCTCCTTTCCCTTCAGACTAGTTTCCCCCCTTGATTCTCAACAGCCCCCCTCCACCCTGAACTTTAATTCGTTTAATTTGGTCCTCGCTGTGGGGAGTATTTCCTGGGGAGATACATTTAATTTCGGAATTTCTAATCCCCTTTCTCAGAGCCAGGCCCTGCTCCTCCCGCTACTCCCGGGAGGTGGCAAGAGGAAGGCAGGCCAGGCCCAGGAAGGGGGCGCGACCGGGGTGCTCCTCCGGCGCCCGCGGCCCAGCCGCCTTTCCAGCCCCTGGAGCCTGGGCCTGGGCCTGGATCAGGACCCTATAGGATGAGGGGAGGCTGCTACATCTCTGCCTTCTCTGGCAGGAGCAGAGAGCCAAAGGGAAAAAGAGCGAAAGAGTAGAGAAAGGAGCAGGCACAAACCAGGTGGCCACTGGCCTACAGGAGCCCTCCACCTCGGTCTTCCCTGAACGTTGTTGGGAGCAAGAATGTGAGTCACACCTGGCATGGGTGGCTCTGCCTCGGTACACTTAAGAGGGGTGCCTATGGGGACCCCTGAGTGCGCAGCTACCCCCAGGCATACCCAGGGCAGCCCAGCCCAGCCAGCCGAGGAGGGGCCCTGAGTGGGCATCCGTGAGGCGCCAGGCAAGCTGGCAGCGAAGGGACCGGGAAGGCAAAGGAGCCGAGATCCACAAGGAAGATTTATTGGGCAGATCAGATGTACAGAGGCGGCTAATGAAGCAAATCCCGAGATGGGTATCAGAGCAACTCCCCAAAAGTTTATTTGCCTTTAAATTTCCGCAGGGAGGCGGGAACCTTGTTTGAAGTGTAAATGCCCCTAGGTTGGGGGGTGGAAGGGCCGCTTTGAAAGCACCAGAGAGAAAAGGTTCATTTAGAGGCAGACAGGAAAAGCAACCAACCCTGACAAGTCGGAGCCGGGGTTGTGTTTGGGGTTGGGTTGTTTTCTTTCTTTCTCTTTCTTTTCCTCTTTCCCCTTCACTCTTCCTTTTTTTTTTTTTTTCTTACCTTTTTCCCCTTTACTAAACTCTATAGAAGAAGAAAAGGAAGAGCAAAAAAGGGAGAGGCAGGAGAAAACAGAAAGCTGCAGGCCAGCCCTTCCTCCCCGAGCCCCAAGAGGAGACAGAGCCAGGCTCACGGGGCTTCCGAATTGCCCAGGAGCACAGCCGCTGGACTGCATGTCCCTGTGAGGGCCGGCCTCGCGGGTGGGTGACTCTGGGGTCCTTGGGACTGGACTAGCACGGAAGGATCTGTACGTTGAGCGGGTATATACGAATAATAGGTGTATAAGCGTAACTTTCAGCACTTACGTCAGTCCCCTCTCCCACAAAATGTGAAAAACCTCTCTGGGCCAGTATGCGAAAATGTTTGTTGTCCAAGCACACTCTCCATAGTATGTGTGAGGTAGGGGGCGCCTCTTTTGATTTCTAGAACATTCTGAACGTATGTGTGAAGGGGAAGAGCCTACCTGGGCTTGTTCCTCCAGTAGCTCAGACTTAATTTACAGGGTCATCAACATTGAAGACTTGGAACAAGGGCTCCCTCCTCCTTTACTTGTGAGCTTCTCTCAGATAAGGACCCTTCTTCCGTGCCCCCTGCTAGAGACTCTGGGAAGCCCCCTGGAGCCCCGTCTCACAAGCCTGGGAGCGGGTCCCTTTGGGCTGCAGAAGCTCTTCCTCTCCCGCTCCCCCCAGTGAAGTCAGTGAGTATTCCTGGGGGTTGTGAGGCCAAAGTAAACCCGGGAGCGCCATCTGCAGGCACTGAGCGGAAGCGACTGACCTTCCGGAGGACCCTGCTCCTGCAGCCTTCAGCCGGGGGGAATCTGCCCCAGCGCCCGCGGAGCAGAGGCTAGAGCTCGGGGCGCGCGGGGTGGGGTTGGGGGAAGGACAGAGTGAGGGCACTGGGAAGTGGCTTTGTTTTCTTCTTAGAAGTTACTTTGCGGTGACTTAGGCTGGTCAGACTCTGGACAATCGGGAGGGAGAATGAATGCCCTGATCTCAGCGGACCCAGCCCCCTGAGCAGTGAGACGCTCAGAACCTTGGAAGGCTGAGCCTGGCCCGAGACCCATCCTCAAAAACCAGGGTTCGAGACGCCCGGTAGGAGTCAGGCAGGTGCGTGCCCCGTCCTCGTGCTGCCCAGCTTCGGCCTGAGGGTCGGGAGCACTAGTTGGCGGCCCTCACTCCGTCGGCGCCGGACTGCAGACGGAGCCGGAGGAAGCGCAGCCCCGCGCGGCTTTGCCCAGCCGTCCTTTCGCAGACCCAGGGAAGGGGGGAGGGAGTGAAGGACGGAGAGAGAGTTAAAACATCAGCTGAAGTGCCAAGATGATTTATGAGACGAGGGAAAATATTTCATAAAGATCTCCCGGATATTCTGTACTTAACCAGTTAGGAGACAAAGGGCTGCTCTTGCCTCGCGCGTGCGAGCGGACCCGGGCGAGGGCTGCGGGGGCCCGGCCGGCGGCTCTGCCGGGAGTGGGGCCAGACCGGTGCAGCGCCGCCCGCCCGCCCGCCCGCGCAACCCGGACCTCAGAGCCGGCAGGGGCGGCGCTCGGCGGCTCTGAGCCTCTTCTCTCCAGCCGGGAGACTGCGTCCAGCCTCCCGCGGCCTCTGCTCCGCCGCAGCCTGCAGCTCCTCAGCCTCTTTCCCTGCCCTCCGCTCCCCAGGTCTGGGACCCCAGTTCCCGGGCTCCACCGCCATCCGTCCGGTCCCACCGAGGCAGGTGGGTCCTCGCTGGAGTCTTCAACTTGATCCTCGACCGGGCGTTCTGGACGCCCAGCTCCGGGTGGGCGCGGGGCCGAGGGAGGCCCTGCTCCAAGTGCGCACGGGACGTAAGGGACAACCTGCTGGGCATTTCCCCGAGGGAGGACTGGGGTCCACGGGTGTGAAGGCATCTGAGGAAGCCGAAAAGGCTGGGCCGAAGAGAGAAGGGAAAACCCGGCGGAGCTGAGGGAGGCACTCAGCGCCAGGGCAGGGTTAGGACTCGGGGCGCAGGCCGGGCAGGCGCTGGCCCTGCGGGCCGCTGAGGGGCGGGATCGCCAGCCGGGCCTCCGCGCCGCCGGAATATTCATCAGCCGGGCCGCCCTTTATCCTTATCTAACGCTTATCTCGTCGCGAGTTTCGCTTCTCGGTGTAGTTTTAATCCCGGGCTCCCGGCCTCCTCCGGCTCGCGCCCCCGACCCCCCGCCCCCGCGCCCCCGCCCGGCGCCGAGTGACAGGCGCGGGCCCTCCTCGCCGAGCTCGGGCCCCGGCGCTGGCGAATCACAGAGTGGTGGAATCTATTGCCTTTGTCTGACAAGTCATCCATCTCCCAACGCGGGGAGGGGGGTCTGGAGGGGCTTTGCAGCTTTTAGAGAGACACACGCCGGGAGCCGCGGCTCCAGTCTCCGGCCGAGGCTTCTCGAAGCCGCAGCCCACCTGGGGCCAACCCCGCGCAGCCGGCTCTCTTCGGCTCCCTACGCCTTCGGCCCGCGCCGCGCGCCCTTTCCGGGGCGGGGGTCGGCCCGGCTCGCACTGCGGCGCCCCCCTGACGTCTCGGTCACTGTTACTTCTCCAACTTGGCAACTGCCGCGCTGCCTCCCGGCGCCCGCCGACCCGCGCCTCTCGGATGACAGGGGGCTGGGTCGCCGAGGGAAAGCGAGCCTCAGCCGCCGCGCGAGCCATGCGTCCCCAGTGTCCCCGGCCCGGCCCGTAACCCAGGGGCCGCGCTGCTGACCGCCCAGCCCGCGCCCCGACGGTGGCAAGTTGAGGCCGCAGCGGCTCGCGACCCGGTACCGGGCCGGGAAGTCCGGCTTGGAGCAGAGAGCCGCCTCCGCCCCGCGCGCCCGCAGCCGCAGGGCGCCCGCTCACTCTCCCTCCCCACCGCCCTCCCTTTTCTCCTCAAGTCCTGAAGTTGAGTTTTCGAGGCGACACGGCGGCGGCGGCGGCCGCGCTGCTCCCGCTCCTCTGTCTCCCCATGGATATGCACTGCAAAGCAGACCCGTTCTCCGCGATGCACCGTGAGTACCGCGCCCGTCCCCTGTCCCACTCCTGCCCCTGCTTAGACCCTGTGCGCCCCCGACCCTGCGCAGTCCCTTCCCCGAGGCCAGGACGGGCTAGCTTCTCCGGTCCCTCTTTGCCTCTTTTCCTAACCTCTAGCTTCTTTCCTGTCTGCCTTCTGCCACCCTGCACTTGCCTCTGTAGCCTTCCTCCTTCCTGCGCTGGTCCCCCTGCCTTTGCTCCTTCCACCTGGCCCTTCCCAGGTCATGGGGTCCGCTGCGGTCGGCTGTGCCTGCCTCCCACCTCTAGTAGGAGGTCTCTGCCCTGGGCTGGAGAACTGTCTGCCGGACACTTTTCAGGCTGTTAGGTTGTGGTCGCCTCTCCCCTCTTCTCCCTCCCCACCTCTCACCTTTCTCAAACTTTGAGTTGTGGGTTTCCAGGAGGAGTCCTAGCTGGGCAAGCTCAGGGTGAGGACAGTGGGTTAAGAGCGTGCGGTGGGTGCCCCCTTCTGACCTGGGCTCTCAGCATCTCTTACCCTCCCAGCCTGGGTTAGGCTTCTTGTGAACTGCTTTGAAATGTTTTCCTACCTTTTCTTTCCTACTTCCCCTGTCTCCCTTCCTTTCCTTTTGAGTTGGGGCTCTGGGGTTGGCAGGGTGTAGTGGTCCTCTTTCCCTGCCTCTGCCTTAAGAGATGCTCTAAAAACAAAGAGCAGCCCGAGGAGAAATCAAAGTCTGGGAGAGAGCACGCCTGCAGTTCCCAGGAAGAGGCAGCTCTGCCCTCTGCCCTGCAGGCTTCGAGCACCTCCTTTTCCCTGCAGAGGATTGGGTGACCAGCACCCTGGCCAGGAGGTCCTCAAAGAGCGGAAAAATGAGAGGCAAAGAACAAAAGAAAGGCAAATGCCAACGCTGGGAAGCAAGAAAGAAATCAAAACACAGGGAAGGCAATCAAAGAGAGAAAACTGAAAGAATTTTATGGAAAAGTAAGGGGAGAGAGGAAACAGGAAAAGGAGAAAATATTTTAATAAAATTTGAATTTATCTCATTCATGCTAGCTAATTCTTTACCTTGGAAAACTATCTATGAGATTTTCAGCAGGTGCTTCAAAAAAAAAAAAAGAAAGAAAGAAAGAAAAAGACAAGTAGGTTCTGAACAGAAACCTCTACTCATCTGTAGATTAATAATTAAGGATTATTTTGTAACTTTTCACAAGGAAACTTTTTAGACCCGACTTGGCCCTCTGTTTAAAACGAGAGCGCAAGGAGGGAGAGGTTGTGTATCTCTCTATTCGTATATTTAGTTTTAAAGCGGGCCTTTAAAAACTGCTCCCGAGATAAACACATCGCCCTAGATAATTCCCAGCACAGGGAGCCCAAGTCGGAGGCTCCCTCCGCTGGAGTCTCCTGACCTTGCGGAGAAGCTACGCTCGTTTTTGGAGGGAGCGGAGCCGGTCAGCGCCGTGCTTGCCCAGCCGCCCGCCTCGCGGCTTGTGTCCGTGCCCGCTTTCCTGCGGACGGTGCCCTGCAGGCGCCCTCGGGGACCATCCCGAGACCGCGGGGAGGAAGGCCAAGGAGGTGCCGCGGCGGGCGCAGCCTCGGCGAGCGAGGAGCCCCGCGGCCCGGCGGCGCTGCTGCATTCGGGCCGACTCCGCACCCCGCAGACCGCGGCCTCGGACCCCGCCGGCCCGCTCGTCCCGGGCCCTTAGACTGGGCTGGAGGGCCGGGCTGAAGCCCGGGGAGGCTGAATTATTCATCCTTAATCTGCCCGCAGCTGCCGCCTTTTCGTCCCGGTAACGCGAGTTCTCCCGGGGCCTAAATTATTAATGGTCGCGGTTAGGCGGAGGGAAGACGAAAGAGGCGACTGCGGGAGCCCGGGCACAGTAAAAATAGAGGCCCCGACTTCCGGCCGCCGGCTCGGACACCTCTTCGGGGTTTCCCCCGAGCTAGCTGTTGGCCTCCGGAAGGGGCCGACGAGAGACGCGCATACGGCGCGAGTGACCCGCGTTCTCCGAACTCCGGGCCGCAGCGGGGCTGTGTCTGGTTAGCGGGGCTCCCGGGCCGCGAGGAGGGCGCAGGCGACCGCTGGGTTCCTGCAGGGCGGGCGGGGCGCCGGGTGCGGGGTCTCCAGGCGCTGTGGGCTCGGTGGGCAGGGGCTGAGCTCGCTGCAGCCTGGTATTGGGCCGCCTCGCTCCGAGGTCGGCAGCCCGGCGAGCGCAGGGCGAACCGAGGCGCTCCTGTATCCAGGGAGCCAGCACCGGTGCACGTTTCTCCGGGCGGCTGCCGGGTTTGAGAGGTCAGAGGGACTCGAACTGGCGGCCCGGCTGCGTAGGTTGTCTCCCCGACTGGGAGGCTGGGTCGGGGGTCCCGGGCGGGACCGATGCGGAGCCCGCATGGCAGGCGGCCGTGCGAACCAAGCAGCCCGCGGTCCGTTTTGGCTGCTACCGAGCCTCGCGGCCCGCGCCGCTTCAACCTCGCCTCTGTCTCCCGGGCGACGAGCTGAGACAGAGGCCTGTCTCAGGCCCTTGTCCCTTCCGCTTCACCTGGCTTTTGCCCCCCACAGCAGACACCAGGGAGGTGAGAAGGAAATGTGGCTCCCGAATATCTAACGATAGGAAACATTAAAAAAAAAAAAAAGATCAAAACCAAATGGAACAAACAAAAACCACAGAGAAAGAGGCAGTGCAATAACGACTGAAAATAAACACAAAGGAAGAGGTGTGGAGCTAGAGGTGCTGTGTGAGACCTAGCCACTTAGTTGGGCTGGGCTGGGACTCAAGGGAGCAGAGTGAGCTGCGCAGACCCCCCAGAACGCCAGCTTCCCAGCCCTGCACTCCAACCTGCCCGGCCGGCTGGCCCTTCCTCTCTCTCTTGCATTCCCTAGGCTGTCTTCTCTCTCTTTCCCGTCTTTTCTGTCCAGCTTTTCCAATCGCCTCTCATTTCTTCCTGCCGGTAGCTAGGGTCTCACTCCTGCTTTCCCAGCACTCTACCCGCGACTCTTCCTGGTGGTTCCAATCCCTAATCTCATATTGATCAGCACCACCAAATCGTGGGATTTCAGGGACACAACCCTCACCCCTGCCTGCTCCCCTTGCCCGATCTGGGGTTTGACCCTGACTAATGGCTGGTCCCTGCTGTGTGTGGGGTACTGTCTTTTTCTTGTCTCTCCCCAGCAGGGCACGGGGGTGTGAACCAGCTTGGGGGGGTGTTTGTGAACGGCAGACCCCTGCCTGACGTGGTGAGGCAGCGCATCGTGGAGCTGGCCCACCAGGGCGTGCGGCCCTGCGACATCTCCAGGCAGCTTCGGGTCAGCCATGGCTGTGTCAGCAAAATCCTGGGCAGGTGAGGGCAGGAGCCTTGGGGAGATGCCCTGTCTCCTTTCTCAGCTCAGGACTTGGCTAAAAGTTGAGGCTGTGAGTGGGAGAGAGATTCTCCAGCTCCAGGGATCTAGCTATTGCATTTGGGAAGGGTGCTCAAAAGGTTGACCCTGGAAGAGTAGGGTCAACCCAGCACAGGCCCTGCTCCTGGGCCTTTGGTGGCTCCCACTGCTGGTGTGGAAAGGGAAAGGGCTATCTTCCAGGGAGCTAAGGTGGTGGTCAGAGGAATGTTGTGGGTGGATATGAAAGCAGATCCCAAGAGAGGAAGCTGCACTGGGCAGGCAGAAGGAGGGCCCTGGTTCCCACAGGGGCCCCTGCATGAGGTAGGAAAGGACTGGAGATGGTGTTTCAGCCCCAGATTCGCCCTTCAGGGGCACATGCTTTGATGACAGGTGTGCCCAGCTCCTGGTGTGGCTGCCTCTTGTCATTCTCCTGCAGTCCCCCACTTTAGCTAGGCATCCTCTGGAAGTTGGCTTGGCCACATGGCCCTTTTTCCTGCATGCTGCTGCTTCAGGAGTGGTGGGAGGGAGAGTGGCTCAGTGGCTTTACAGCCTGCAGCTCCCCCACCCCAAAACCCACGGCCATTGGATTCCGCTGACCCAGCTGCCGGCTTCTGGGCACAGGTACTACGAGACTGGCAGCATCAAGCCTGGTGTGATCGGTGGCTCTAAGCCCAAAGTGGCAACGCCCAAAGTGGTGGACAAGATTGCTGAATACAAGCGACAGAACCCAACCATGTTCGCCTGGGAGATCCGTGACCGGCTCCTGGCTGAGGGCATCTGTGACAACGACACGGTGCCCAGCGTCTCCTCCATCAACAGGTGAGCAACCTCCCTGGGCCTAGTCCACAAGCCTCAGTTCTTGGCTCCTGCATGCTGGAGATCTCAGCCTCTGCCTTTCTTCCAGCTCCTTTCCTAAAGTGGTTTGGCAGGGAGAGGGTACCTACAAGACAGAGAGGCAGACAGACAGAACTGTCCCCAGTTCAGGGTTTGGTATTCCCTGCCAGGTTTCTCCCCACTAGTATCCTGGAAATGAACGCAAGTGTTTGTGGTAATTAAGACTCCAAGATTACACGCCTTGGGATCTAGAGACAATCACAGCCTGTAGTGAAACCTTTAAAGTAGCCAGTGTCTATTCGTCACATCCAAACAGACTACCCTTTTTTAAGGCATGACTCTGTCTTGGGGTAGCCTCGTTCCTAGCTCCCTCACCACACCCACAAAGCTTGCCTCCCGGGAGCCCAGGTCTTGCTAGCTAGCTCTGAACAAATTTCTGACCTAGAAGCACTAGCATGCAGGCCTGTGGAGCAAATGCCAACCACAGCCAGCAATTGGCAGGGAGTGGAGGAGCTGGACAAGGAGATAGGTGCCAGGCAGCGGGCAGAACTGGGATCCTGAGAGTGAATTTTGCAGGATGCTTCACATGCCTAAGGTGACAATTTTGAGAGTGAAATCTTTGCACTGATGACAACACATGGGGTGACAGGGACCAAAATTAGCTGGATATCTAGAATAGTTAGGTCCCCAGAGGACTCTCTGAGAAAGTCCATGGCACCCTCCATACATATGCGATCTGACCGCATGCCACATGCTTCTCTGTCATGGCTACACAGTGGAAAGCAACAGGTAAACTCGGAGCCCAAGCTGGCTTCTGAATTATGGAGCTGTATAATCCGACCACTGTACACAGAGACCCTGTGCAAATCGTGGCCGGCCAGAGGCAAGCCCCACTTTTTAAAGTACCCTCAAATGAGAAAAGGGCTGAGTTTCATGCCCTTATTCTCTGCATTCTTCACAGGCTTGTTATTAGGAGGTCAACCAATAGTTCAGGTGTTACTTTTTTTTTACAACTGGCATCACCTATCACAGTTTTTGTTTTTGTTTTTTGTTTTTTGGGTTTTTTTTTTTTTTTTTTTGGTGGAACCAGGGATTGAACTCAGATCTTTGTGTTTGCTGGTCAAGCGCTTATCCTACTGAGCCATCTCCCCGGCCCCAACAGGTTTTTTTTAATATTTCAAAAATGATGTGGAATTATCCCAAATCATCCTGAAAACAGCAGGCAAAATTAGCTGGTAGAATGTACCTTGGCTAAAGAAGATTCCCTCTGCCACACGTGTGCTGTGATGTACTGCGAGGCAACCCCAGAGATCATCCCAGTGTGTGCCATCTGCATTAACATGGTTATTCAGTTATGAACAGGGACATAATGCTGATCAGCTGATTATGCACCCCTGAACCCTCCAGCTCCCTGGGCCTGGCTCAGCCAGGTATTGAAAACATGTCAGTTTGGCATTCAAACATCTTCCAAAGAGGCTAGAGAAAGACTCTGGTTTGGGAGAGTAATTTGTACTTGGTATTTAAAAGTTGGGAGGAAGATAGGGCAGGGATGGCAGTAAGGAAGGGAAAGGGAAAGACTCTGCCTTCTGAGTCAGCTTGAACATGACTTTTGACTGATTCCTGGCCCTGACTGTCAGTTGGAGTTGAGGCCATGTGTGCAGAGGGGCTAGGGCCGGCTGAGGAGCATGTGCCCAGCTGGATAGCGGTGTTCTGGAGAACATTCAAGAGAGTTGTTCATTGTGGAAGATTCTCTGGCCTTTGGAAGGCCCCAAGCAGTCTACAGCTAAGGCAGATGTGGCAGCAGCCCTTCCTTGAACCCTTTGTTCTCTTTCCCCCAACATACACCGCTCACTAACAGAGATGTTTTAACAAGCTGGCTTAGACGCAGCTTGGAAAACTTTTATCCTGAAAAGCCACAGAGAGCAGAAACAGGTGACCCTCAGTGGAGCTTTAGGGGTCTTTAGTTGTAGCCACCAGCACTGGGAGAAGGCTGTGTGAGCTGCCCAGGGTTGAGTGTGGGAGGAAGAAGAGCCTCAGGTGACAGCTCTCACACCTCTGCCTGGGGGGGTACAGGGCCCTGTTCCTGCTGTGGAGGAGTAGCGCTTCCTCCGGCAAGCACAACTGCATGTGGAGAAGCCCCTGGGCCTGCATGTAGGTTTCAGGGCTTGCTTAGCCAACAAGGCATGGTCATGCTGTCCTCAGTTTTGCTTTGGGCAGAGATTTGCAAGGTTCACTTTTGGAAAAAAAAAAAAACACACAAAAACAAACAACCCAGGGATCTCCCAGGGTGCTATGGGGATGCCTCTGACACCCCACCCTTAGTGTACTTCCTGCTCTGTTTTGAAAGGAAAGGCTTATTTGGGATGACAGGTACCTTTGCACCTGTCTAAGGCTAGTATAGCTGGTTATTCCAGGAACTTGGTCCTTGCTCTGCTTTGAAAATTCTGCTGGAGACTTTCCTCTGTGCAGAAACTATGGTGCAGTGGGAATGAGTAGTTTCTGAGTCCTGGGCCTGACTGTTCACAAGTGGTTCTGCACTTGGGTCCTTCCTAATAGTTATGTGTCAGAGTGGCAGGAGCCTACACTGGCAAAAGAGATATGCGTACTCGCTAACCTGAGCCAAAGGTTTTCATCTGTTCCTTCCCAAAACAGATGCTGTTGCTGCACTTGAAATATGCTGTTATGGCTATAAACGCTATTGCTTTTCATGCTTTAAAAGTGGCTTTGGGAGAGCGGGTAGATAGCTCAGAGGCATAAGCACCTATCTGGCAAGCACAAGGACTAGAGTTTGGGGTTTTTTTGGTGGAACCGGGGCTTGAACTCAGGCCCTTGCGTTTGCCAGGGAAGCGCTTATTCCACTGAGCCATCTCCCCAGCCCATAAGGACTTGAGTTTGAACCCTAGCCCTGCATGCTATGCAGTCTCCGCCCTGGATCCCTGGGGAAGCAGTGTGAGGCCCCAGAACCAGGCATGGTGGTGCATGCTTGTAATTCCAGTACTTGGGTAGTTAGGACAAGAGGATCTCTGTGAGTTCAAGACCAGCAAGGGGGCTACAAAAGAGAGCACAAGGCCAGCCCCAACTGTATAGCGAGACTTTGTCTCCAAAAAAAGAAAAAAAAAAAGAAAGAAAAAAGAAAAGTGGGGGGCCAGGGAGATGGCTCAGTGGAATAAGCGCTTCCCTGGCAAGTGCAAGGGCCTGAGTTCAATCCCTGGTTCTGCCAAAAAAAAAGAAAAGTGGGTTTGGTACTCTCTGATCCTATCAAAAGAAAGGCTGGAGGATCAAACTACATTCTCATTAGCAAATCTTACTGGCAAAAGGGCTTGTCTGGGCAACAGGAATGGGTCAGGAAGCCTTGCCATGCTCAGAGACCACATCCAAAATCCTGGGAACTGACTGAGTAACTCAGCACATGAGATTTATCTGAATCCTTCCAAATGCTGAGTTACTGACCACTGGGCGTGGAGTTGTAACTCTTCAGCCTATCGGTGCTACTGGGGAGAACAGGTACTTCTGAACAGTTGACCCCAGACTGAAGCTGGTGTGGGAATGGCCTGAGAGTGGGAGACTCGTGTGGCAGGAAGGTAGACAAGTCCCCTTGTTAATGGCTGGAAACTGACTGCAGGCAGAGCTTTCCTGGGTACAGTCTTCTTGTTCAGCTTTGCTCTGGTCAGGGAACACAGGCAGCACAGATGCCTACAAAATCTAGGGTCGCTGGCGGTCCCCAAGGATGAGGACAGGCATCACTTCCAAACCTGCCCTACAATCTTTGCCTCCTGGAGCTCCTGCTCCCTGGCCATGATCCTCTGGTCCTTCCCTCAGCCTGAGGAGCCCCAAGTGGCTGCAGGCCTTTTCCTAGCTGCAGCAGTGCTGGTGTCAAGGAGGTGGCAGCCCCAGCACTACATTAAAGAATTCCAGGCTGTGTTATTCTCTGGTCTTGGCTGAACACTGACAGGGAGTGTCTGTGGGTAATTGCCTGTCCAAGTAGTGGAGAGCATGCACTCCATCCATAGCTGTGGGGATGCTGAGCCGTGTTTGGGGCTAGGATCTACTGCTTTCCCCCCCGAACTCCAGCTCTTGAAGGGCGCCTGACTTGACACTTGAGTCTGGCCTAGCCTGGCAGCAGGATGGAGCCGTGTGCTGCCTACCCCTCTCTGTACCGTGTAGCTTCTGCTCTCCAGGCCCAGAGCAAGCTGATGACTCTGCTCACAAAAGACCAGGAGAGAAACCCTCCCCTGCACTCTGCACCAAGCACACTGAGGCCAGAAGTGGCAGTTTCTTTTCTGTTATTGCAGGCCATGCTCTCACTCACTGTCTTTCCTCTACAGAAGTTGCCATCCTAGGAGTAGGCACAACTTTGTTCTTTTTTTTTTTTTTTTACATGAGCTAGATTGCCCTCCTGAAAAGTCTGTTTGTTTCCTTAGCAGTTTTAACCTGGGCTTCCTGGCCAGGGATCCCACTGGTCTGACTGTCTCCCCAGTGGCTGGCTTGAGGGTGTCCAAACCACACCTAGTCCCCCAGGGAGGGCAGAGGCTGGCTGCCCTGATTTCCTATCTCAGCTGGCAACTTTTCAGAAGAGGCAGACGGGAAAGCTTGTTCCCAGTCAGAGCTTCAGGTGCATTGTGTAGGGTGCTGCAAAGAAGAAAAGGAAGGGAGGAATCCTAAATAAATAGGGTCCCAACTGTTCTGAGAACTCAATAACACCATCACATTATGTACGAAGAGGCATAAATCTTGTGTCCGCATAAGTAACCTTCTCAGTTGCTTTTATCGTGCTCAAGCTGCCTCCACTTACTCCCATCCACAGCAGGGGCAGAGGGGGCTGCATGGAGGGTGGTCTCCCCTGCAATCTTATACCCAGAGAGGTAACAATCAGCCCATACAGCCAGGGATTTCCACGGAGCCCTGGAAGGGCCCATCTGTCTGCATGAAAACCAATCAATAACTCTGTAACTAGAGCCCTGTCCCTGGGAAATGGACAACACAGC